ATGTAAATTCTAACAGTATTTCTTATTAACGACTATGCTTCTTTTTATATCCTTATTTACATTAAAGGGACTAAATCTCTATTCTTTGGCACCTGGAAATGGACACAAATAGGTCGCAACGCATATAATAATGTAATATGAATGTGTATTTTCTAATCAGTAATGTTCGGCGAAATAAGCTAAGAGTCCAAAATGAATGGCAGTCTTTGGCGTCTGGTTATTCCAGTCTGCACCGGTAGTATTCTCCTGTGGGATATGTTTAGCCTCGTTCATCGAGTCGCTTCATTACAAATGGCGCTCGAAATGTTCTGGCACGCGATTTGTTTGCCAATTTAAAACTTTTCTTTTTCTCTTAAATATTGGATGTTTAGCCTTGGTCATTTATATCTTTGTAAGCTATGTGCACTATGTAGCACGCGTGAACCGTTTAGATGAAATGAAATGAATTGTGATTTAACGTCCTGATTTCCTGCTCCATCCGGAATACTGAAGATAAAGTATGTCCGGACAGCGGCCAACTCTTTTTACGAGTTCAACTGCCAAGGATTTTTTACATGCACCAGTGTGTACAAGGAGCTTCTCTTTGTCGTCCTATCTCTGAACCAGGCCCCCTGTACCATTAACAATAAAAAAAACACGCCGAAAAATCACGAGGAACTTTGACGGTCATCACCGGCATCGCACCTGAGGCCTCCAGTTTAGCGAGTCACTTAGCCATCGCGGCTCCACAAACTGGTGGATACTACCTTTGTCTTTTATACCATTCATGTGATGTGGGTTCGGTGGGCGAATGGTTAACGCGCGCGCATTGCATCATAAGGTCTGACATTGAGTCAAGTGGCGTGGTTTCGATTGTCTGCTTGTACGTGACTTAGACTAAGGTCGTCTGTCTCACATCGTGGGTTTCCACGGGTCCTCCGGTGGTTTCGGCCTAGTGCTAAAGACCTCTACGCGCATGCGAATTATCAAAATCGAACTAAACTATATGTTAGTCCCGAAATGACCTGGTTGATGTCGAATGGGCGTTAAACCCCATTTCACTATCTCTCTCCATTCATATGAAATACATCTATGACGTGTCTAATACAGTAATAAAAGAATACATCTATGACGTGTGTAATACAGTAATAAAAGAATACATCTATGACGTGTCTAATACAGTAATAAAAGAATACGACTGTCCATAAAGCAATCACCAGACAATCAGGCTGTTGTCTCTAGATGAATAAATCCTACGACAAGACATAGACGTGTAATTTATGACAAGTAGATGTCGTTTTTGTGACATATTCCGGGTGGGCGACTTCATACTACGTTTTACTAACCAGGATAAACATGTATTTGGGGGCGTGAGTAGGATACAAGTTAATTTACAGGTAAAACATCAATTTTGACTTAGGAAGGATAAAAACATTTATCATGTGCTGGTGACTAATATTATCAGTCATCGTACACTCAAGATGTGTTCTTTGACATCGGTTCTTTGGTCAGCTTCTTAAAGGGGAATTATCACGCTGACTAAGAAAATAGACGTAGTTAAAGGCGACTATCACATTCACAAACAAAATAGACGAAGGTAAAGGGGAAGTACTACTCTCTCTCTCTCTCTCCCTCTCTCTCTCTCTCCCTCTCTCTTTCACGAAGACCATAGATGTATTTAAAGGCGAATTATCACTCTTTCGAAATATCAGTAAATCTGGCACCCAGGAAAACCCGACTACGGACTGGACATTAATGTGGTTCCAAATAATAAGTGGGATTTCTGACTGGTCGACAATAGGATTAATAAGCGACAGCGATCGAAGCAGTCTTGTCTGCGACATTACTTTCGATGGAGAGAGAGAGAGTGAGAAATGGGGTTTAACGTCCACTCGACACAAACTAGGTCATTTCGGGACTAATATATGGTTTAATTTTATTTCAGTAATTCGCTTGCGCGTAGGGGTCTTTAGCAGTGGGAGGAAACCGGAGGACCCAGAGAAAACCCATGAGGTTGGACAGGCAACCCTACTCCTTGCCACGTACAACCTAGGATTTGAAACCACGTCAGTCGACTCAATGACAGACTTTATGATACAGCGCGCACACGCTAACCATTCAGCCATCCAACCCCCCACTTTCGATGGAAGATGACATTTAAGTCCTACGAACGAACGAACGATCAAGCTACGAATCCCAGTCAGTTCTTTCAATAGAAAAGCTATATGAAAAGACTTTAGCCAAAGGCCGACTACGTTACGAGCCCAAGTCAATCGTATCGATATTTCGCCGATTTTGGACTCCCTAGATCCGGTACTGTTAGTTGGGCGCTATGGAACCTAGGGATTGATAATTCAATTTAGTATTCAATTTAGAATAGGAATTTATTATGTGATGACCATTGGACCCTTCAAAGCCACATAAAGCAATGAACAGTTGTAACAAAGGACAGATTAACCGACAAATTCCAGCTACCACAGTTAAAACAATAGACTAAAAAGTTGAGTTTGTGTCCGCATTGTTTATTTTACGTTTTGGAAAAACAAATGGTGTCAATGTTAATGTTTATTTACGGTATAATGGGTTTTAAGCTTTTTTTGTGGTTTTAACTATTTCACGCCGTCGTTAACTACCAGTAGTCCGTACCATGATGATTGGGGTAATAATTCGCCACCATTGTCTACCGATCACCCACTGACAAACACAATGGAGTCCCAACACTTGAAACAGTTACCTGGAACTTTACTCGAAGTCACACAAAGCAAACGAACGAACGAGAGTCTCGTAAAATAAACTTTAAAAATTATTCAAATTCTTTGCACTATATTTACATCAACGTTGCATTATTTCAAAAAAGGAATCCAAAGGTATGGAATTAAACTTTAATTATCAATATTAATATTTTTGTTTTTGTCACAATAATACTAAATGAAGGGGGGGGGGCGCGGTGGCGCAGTGATTAAGGCGATGGCACGCTAAGCAAGAGCTTTCGGGTCCACTCCCAGCAATTTCCTCGAAAGTCCTTGAAATTTCCAGTGCGGTTTCTCATTGTCAGGGGTGCAGGGTGGCAAACAGAGAGCATGACCAGGAAAGTTGTCTAGTCATTCAGATGGAGAGAAGAAATGAGGTTCCGTTTACACATTGGCGTGTAGGTAAAATATCCCTTGACAGTTGGAATTTGAAATAAGAGTAGGCCGTAACCCGTTGTCCGGGCAAAATGTCCCCCACAGCACATCACATGGCGCATGCCCGTCTTCATTTTCCTAGTCAGTTCAGAAAAGTAGGATGTATAACCCCATTTAATTTTATTTGCATTATTTCCAAAAAGGAATTAAAAAATGTGGAATAATACGACTGGTTACAGTCATCGTTGGATCATTATATGGCTAACTGTTTACATTTTTGCGATTGTCATATTAATACTAAATGAAGTTTGGAATTTACAGTGCAGGGTATTTTTAAAGATGCATTATGTAAGAGCTAAATCTGCCTATTGCAGGCATTTCGTTTGGTTTAAAATGTTATATAAACTATTATTTAAACATTTATTCACAAGGCAAGCTTATAATCAACTCCCTAGACCAACGGGTGGCAGAGATTTAAACGGATTGAAACATGGTCGCCATGAAATGATTTAATTTAAAAATCGGGACTCAGTCTCGATTAACAAGTACCGTTGTTACGATCTTGTCAAAACTTTAAACAGTGATAAAATAATTCATGTTTCATTATCTATTTTTAAAGTATTATAGCAATTAGGTTAGGTCACGTGATTGTTAGTGAGATTGTAGGATATGGTTAGGGTAAGCATTGGGGCTAGGTCCAGGGTTAGGGTTAATGTTGGGTTTAGCGCTAGCCCTGTTTACATCTCGTGACATGAAAAATTGAGCTAGCCTTATCATTTAGCACTAACCGTGCAATAGGGGTTAAAGTTGCTACTCGTCATTTGCAATTTCCGGATAATATTGTTCGGATGGCTCGATTACTATTGGGTCTCGGATTCGTTCTCAGTGTTTGCCGGGGCAATGTCTCGGTATTTGTGGACATGTCCTCGCCCCATGTCAGTATTGTAGGTCGGCGGTCTGACAGGAAAGGACATTTAGTTGTTCGGGTGGGACACAAACGGAGGTCCCGTGTGCATCTTAAGTGGCCATTAGCGATTGGGAAAAACATTAACGGAACACAATTCAATTTTTATGGGAAACAATCATTGATTTTTGTTCTGAAATCACGACTATAACGATAAGAGGATACTTGTCGAAACGTCGTGCTTTCATAATAAACAAAACAGTGATTGTTTCCCATAAAAACTGTGTTCCGTTAAAGTCCCGTGTACACGTAGGTGGGCACGTAAAAGAACCCTTGCCAGTTGAAATTCGAAATAAGAGTAGGCCATATCGCCACTGCCCGGGCAAAATTGCGGTTTTAGCGCACACTGCATGGCGTATATCTGTCTTCATTAACCCGGTTGGTGCAGATCAGATAAGTAGGACATTAAACAACGTTAAATTTCATTTCATTCTTCTGGGGCACTAGTCCTTTAAAGATTACGCGCGTTGTATCATACGGTCTGTCATCGAGTCAACTGGCGGGTTTTCGATTCCCCGGTTGTACGTGACAAGGAGTAGGGTCGCCTGTCCAACCTCGTGGGTTTTCTCCGGGTCCTCCGGTTTCCTCCCACTGCTAAAGACCCCTACGCGCAAGCGAATTATGTAAATAAAATTAAACCATATGTTAGTCCCGAAATGACCTAGTTTGTGTCGAGTGGAAATTAAACCCCATTTCTCTCTCTCTCTCTTTAAAGATTAATAACCCCATGAACAGAAGGCGGTGTGAGAATTCACGCATGATTTATCAGCATAGAATACCAATAACCTACTTTCACGTTCAGCCTGAAGGACCTGTCACAGGGGAAATACTTACAGCGCATGTCCGAAACATTTTCTCCAGTCAACTTAACTTGGTCAGTAGGACACAACTAGCTGTCGAGGAGCATGAAGTTGGCGTTTGAACTCACCGTTTCATATATATACAAGCAGGTAAACGACGTGACACTTAGTTGAGTGGTGGTTGTCTCTGGAAGAACGTTATATACAGCCGCTGATCCCCCATCTTGGAATATTTGTGTTTTGTCCGTATAAACTATTAAAGGGACAGCTTTCATCTAGAACACTGAAAATGAGTTTTCACTCATATTTTGGATTAACCGTTATATTTATGTTGGCTGTATTTCAGGTGAGTGTTATTATTAACCTTTGTTTGAAAGACTGGGTAAGCTGAGCGACGAAGTTTATTTGGTAAACATTGGTTTCTTTTATTAGCATGGGCTCGGGGTTGTCATTTTAGCATTAACTTTCAAAGTTGGGTTAAGTTTTCGGCATTTGTTTGATAAGAAAGTGTGCTATTTTAATGTCGATTTCGGTGTTTAAATTGTAAGAGAATTAATTAGAGGCAGATAATATGGAAACCAAATAAATTTCGAGTTGGATTGAATATTGAAAACATCTTTCTGAAAACCTGTGAGAATACAAAAAGGACAACAAAAAATATAAACGACTATGGTGTCCTGGGTTCGAAGCCCTGTTTGTACTTTTTAGGATTAGTGAATGAGGAATTAAAAAGCAACTCCCCACCCTTCCCCACCCCCAATCCCCACTCCCAATCCCCACACGCATACTAATACTAAATGTGCAGCCAAGACAGTCGGTAAACTTCGGCAAATCAATAGGATCTAGATTTTTCGTCCCATCCGAATGAATATACGTTGTCCTTACCGGGCACCCTTGTGCCACACGACTGATAAGGGGGAACCACACCGGGAAAAAGAGAACTACGTACATACGAACGAATACAGTCGGAAACCATATCCTTTGACAACGTAGAATTCATCGGGATTTTCCGGCATGGTTTCCCCTTGTCAGTTAGGTCTGAAAAGGACAACTGTCTAGTCGTTCGGATGGGACGAAAAACCGAGGACCCGTGTATAATTTGCGTGCACGTAAAAGATCCCCTGGCAGTTGGAATTAGATATAAGAGTAGACCATTGTACCGCTGCCCGGGCAAAATTTCACTCATGGCACACTGTATGGCGTATGCCCGTCTTCATTAACCCAGTCGGAACAGAACAGTAGGACGTTAAACCCCATTTCATTTCATAACAGATATTTCAAATTTTGGCCGAATAGCCCCGACCCCTTACAAGTAAATGAGTGTGAAATAGCCTTATTGCAACGTCCGCGTTCACCGGAGTGATATGACAGACAAGTGCTTAAATGGTTTTAAGAGTATGACTGGCTTAATACACGAACAATGCCCGAGGTCAGACCATGTCACTTACAACAATAACCTGCCCTCATTAGTTCACGTGGTTCGTCATGGTATTAACTGGACTATTATGATGTATCTATTAACCTTGTGTTTAAATACATTAGTTCACGTGGTTCGTCATGTATTAACTGGAATATTGTGTTTAAATACAATATCAATATATCAGACCCATCGATCAAAATTCCCCCGTGCTGTTTATGACTGGATACAAAGTCGATTTGTACCTGCTTGAATGTAAAATAAATTGTTTCAATAGCACCAACTTAGTTAAAGATACATTATGTATCAGATTAAGATAAAGAGCTGATTCTTTCTTTAATAGCTCAAAAATAGATAACATAAAATGAAAATTTCATTCAAATTACTTCATTCTGAGCCAAGTTATCACTGTTTCTAGTTTCGACAAGATGTATGGATAGTGCTAACCAGGGCACTGATAGGGGGTACTCGATTGAACGTTCCGGAATTGAATTCTCTCAATCACAAAAATAGTGACAATCGAGTGAAAAGGTGGATTTTGAACTACAACGCATGCGTCGACCAAATAAGTAAATATCTCAACCAACCATGCAGCCGAAACATATTCGTTGTGTTTAATTACGTCACGATTCTACTCACACCACCTCCATTGTCGGGACTGACAGAATTGTGACAGAACTGAATTCCGCGTTTCTCGATTGCAATTCTGTCAATTCGGGACGTTCTGGGCTGTGAATCGAGCATCCCCATAGTGATATATTCGAGACTTAGCCTAGCTTTCCCATTTTTAAGTCAACGCAAACTAGGTCATGTCGGAACTAACATAATTGTTCAGTATTATTTCAATAATTCGTTTGCGAGTGTGAGTCTTTAGCAGTTGGAGGAAACCGGAGGGCCCCGAGAAAACCAACGACGTCGGGCAGGCAACCCTACGACTTGTCACGTCGTACAAGCCTTAGATATCGACACTACGTCACTTGACTCAATGGCAGATACCGCCATCTAAAGCGCACGCGTAAGGTCTTTCGACCATCTACCTTCACCGCACCCAATTGTTAAAATGTCGTGGATGAGGCATAGTATATTCTTTCTATTTCTGGGGATCAACTGACGTATCTTCATCACTTTTACATAGCCGTTACTTTACACTGTAAGTTTTATAACTTTGGTATTCACGAAGGATTTTGTTTTTATTTGAAAATAGATGCGGTACTTTCCCTGTCGATAGACACGTTTTGAAAGTGTTCTTTTTATAATAAAAGCGATACTATAGCACTGTTATATAACAGACCCTTTCCTGGTTGTAACAGGAACACTGTTTTCTTTATTGTTATGCGGCTAAACAATATCTAGATACCATCTTTCTTAATTGTAATATCTAACACGTGCGCTTTACATTATAAGGTCTGTCATTTAAGTCAAGTGGTGTGGTTTCGATTCCTAGCTTGTTCGTAACAACGGGTAGGGTCGCCTGTTCAACGTTTTTAAACTAATCATTAAATGGCCGGTCCAAAGAAAGAAATGTTATATAAACTATTAATTAGACATTTATTCACATGATGATACCTTACTCCAGTGGCCGCGAGAGCTTCCTAAGTTCTGCCGCGAAATTTTGAAAAGCCGTTACTTTACACTGTAAGTTTTATAACTTTGGTATTCACGAAGGATTTTTTTTATTTGAAGATAGATGCGGTACTTTCCCTGTCGATACACACGTTTTGAAAGTGTTCTTTTTATACTAAATTAAGTGATACTATAGCACTGTTATATAACAGACCCTTTCCTTGTAACAGGAACACTTTTTTCTTTATTGTTATGCGGCTAAACAATATCTAGATACCATCTTTCTTAATTGTAATATCTAACACGTGCGCTTTACATCATACGGTCTGTCATTTAAGTCAAGTGGTGTGGTTTCGATTCCTAGCTTGTTCGTAACAACGGGTAAGGTCGCCTGTTCAACATTTTTAAACTAATCATTAAATGGCCGGTCCAAAGAAAGAAATGTTATATAAACTATTAATTAGACATTTATTCACATGATGATACCTTAATCCAGTGGACGCGAGAGCTTCCTAAATGTACCGCGGAATTTTGAAAAACCACAAGATCCCTAATGAGTTTACACTGGTGTCTACTAATAAGTTCATAGCTGTGTTTTTCTTTATTTAGTTCGAGTCATTCTGTGTGTCTATCACTAGTCTCTGTCTACGGTAAGTCTACGGTTGTTTTCCGTCTGACTTACCATGTTTTTATTTTGCAAAATTCAAATTTTTTTTTTCATGTGGTCCAAGGTGTGCCTTTGGCAAATAAAAGTTTGAGAACCACTGCCTTAATCAACCCTCGATGCCATCTTATGTGTTCGATTGTGCTCAACGCCCATTGATGATTAAATGCAAAAATAGATAATCGAGACCAAGTTTTTTTTATCGTACAGACTTTACTAATGATGATCGAGGCTAGGCCTAAAATTCCATCGCTAATATCTCGGTTCAGAGTGTAGCAATTTGACTAAAATTTTCAGCATATTCCCTTTACATTAATTAGTTTTTAACTATTATAGTGCGAACGGCCAACTTTTTATCTAATCTTTCATAATGCCCCTTTAAGAATTTGCTTGAACAATAAAGAGTTTTTCAGGAGGTAATGGGCAAACCCGGAAAAGTATTGAATATTTATTTCCTGTTAAAATATTACTCATCACAAAAAAATAGACAATTTTATTTTCGATACAAATCAAACAGTTTTATCCAAATTAATTTTAGGATCGTTTTTCACGATTCAAATATTCACATAATTAAAATTGTTATTTTTACGACATTTGTTGAGTTGTATTTTGTTTGTCTAGCGAAGTAGGCAGTGTTATAATATAAAGAGTTATTTATTTCTTTTAAGACCACCGTTTTGCTCAATTACACCAATTTAAAATTACATATACTGTAGAGATACCTTACCACGAGGTTAATTCGTTCATTCAGTCAAACCCTGAAACTTGTTTTTATACTTGACAATATGACTTATGACATTTATGAAACCTGTAATAGAATGGCGGCCATTTTAAACAGCGGCGAGATGGGACCTCGCTCATTCCGCATGAACGTCAAGTAAAGTTAGGGTAAGGGTTTGACAAACTTTTTCACAAGGCCCGAAAAGAGAAGACACTTTTTACTCATCGTTAGTCCAGATTTCGTTACTTTTCTAAAATTAGCTAAATAAAAATTCTGGGCCTAAACTGAGCTTCGAAAACAAAATGGTAGTCGACTAAAATTCACTTTTATTTAATTTATTGTGACAATAAACTAAATATCTAAACAGTTGTCATTCACTTCGCGTTCTTATTCTAGACCTAACAAAATTCACTCAATATTGCGACTGCTTTGTGAGACGGAGTTAAAAAAATTTTGTCGCCATGTTCGCGTTGTATATATCCCGATATACGTAGATAATAGTTAGGTATAATTATCTTCCCGAATCAATCATCTGAAACGTGAAACGGGGACATAATTGAAGCGTGTGGTGAATTAAAAACCCCACTCCCATACTAAAAACAAGTACAGTTGAACGAACCAGGAACCGAATAATATGGACCATGACGTCGACGCAGACACCGTGAAAGTGTGGCATATCAATTCGCAATTGTCCAAAGAAGAAGAATACCAAGTTTCATGTCGATCGTACACGATTCGCCCAAAAGAACCGCAATATAATAACAAGAGCATCTATTGACAGTTGGAATTCGATATAAGAGTAGGCCGTAGTGCCACTGCCCGGACAAAATTAAATTTCCCTCATCGCACACTATATGGCATATACCCGTCTTCATTAACTCAGTCGGAGCAGCACCGTACGACGTTAAATTTCCCTCATATAATAGCCCACTGTATGGCGTATACCCGTCTTCATTAACCCAGTCGGAGCAGAACAGTAGG